AGTTTCAACAAGGTAGATGCCCTAGCAATCATTTCCCTTGGATGAAAATACATTGGATGTGAACGTTATTCAGTATTAAACTCATGACATTCTCAAATACCAAAATATATAAATACAAAGACACAAAGCTATGTTTCTTTTAAATTTTATTTTTGTGTAAGCTAAAAGGAAATTTACACACTGAAATCTCAAAAGACCTTGGGCATGCACATTAACCTTGGTAGAGGTTCTTCTACATGTCTCTTTTTTTCCATAGGAATTTCCCCAAACATTTAAAACCCATAGTTTTTACTGTATATACAGCCTAAACCATAGCAATCTATGATTATGTCATTTTACACTGTGCAAAATCCTCAAAAAATAGTGGTACAATAGAACAAAAATCAGCAACAAGTAAATTTCATTGTAAGACATTCATATAATTTGGTCCTTCTCCAGATCAAGCTGATTGGAAAGACACAATCCTGTTAAACCCCTCCGGTCAGCTTCTGCCGATGCCACACCCTTAACAGCAGTTGATGAAGGACCTTGCAAAAGGTCAAACAATAAGGCAGACTGACAAGGGTAGAAAAGAGCCCGATCGCAAAGAAACCCATCACACGCAAAATTAAAAGGAAAAAAAATTTAAACAGACTTTGGAGCACACTGATAGCAAAATTCAAACATGAGATGGGAAAACTTAAGAGGACATTCAATGCAATCTGAGAAGACCGAAGGGGATTTCACAGACAATGGAGATGGGAGTTTGTAATTTTTTTTTTATTTCAAAAGTTTTTTAAGAAGGACACCACCAGTGTATTTCACAAAGACATAAATGTGTACACCCCAGCAACACAAAAAGAATAGATCTTCAAAAATGTTCACCCCAATTATTTACATTTTTTCTAATATAAATTTAGGACTTCAGTATGTAAATAAATATACATTACTATGTATACCTTTCTAGTGCGGCTTACCACCAAATCAGCTGAACTTGAATGTCTTTAATTAGAGCAAGGATGCTTTAAGGTAGGGAGGGGCTGGAGGAAAGGAAAAGCAACTGCAGCTCTGCAGCTGCCGTCAGCTCAGCCTGCCTTGTCCTGGGAGCTTGTGGAAGGCGTCAGCGTGGCTGGGAACATCAACACCTTGGCATGCATGAACGTTAAGTCGGGAAGGCTGCCGATCACCTGGATGGCTTCTTCACTCAAGTGCTCTTCTCTTTTCGGTTTCCTATTGACAAATGGAGAAAAGATCCGTGTGTGAGCGTGACTCTGCGGTAGGTCAGATGGGAGAAAATGCCGGCTCTCGACTGCAGGCAGTTAGCTCTGCGGGCACTTGAGAATCCGCTGCTCCGCCGGTTCCTGATCCTGGTGATACCTGTCTGTCGCCGGCTGCCTGTGCTAGATGGCAGACCTCACGAAGAGTGACACATGGTCTGTTTCTGTATGCTCACTAGGCTAGGCACGTACCCAGATACAGCTCATTGCTCTGTGGAAGGCCAGAAGCATCACCCAGGCATAAGCAGAAATATAAGGCTGGTGTCCTTGTCCCACTCTGTCGAAGATTTCCCCGCCCCGGCCCTCTGAAACTACCGAAATCGCCACAGCCTACAACGGGTCTGGCACAAGGCCTGTAATTTTAATCTCAGGCTGGCTTTATCCCCAACGGGGAATTCCTGGAGAGAGCATTTAGCTCAAACACCCACTCTGAGCCCCACTTTGATGCACAAAGGAAGTCCCAAGGCAGGCCGGTGAGGGTTGACTTTCAGTGCAGAGGTGCCATCAGGTAGGAATGGACCCAGGAAAGGGAAATCTCTAAATCCTACAGCTCTGTAGTTGACTTACTGTGATACTAGACCCCAGTGTGAGAAGTGAAATCTGGGCGTAGCATGGATAGTAAGAACAACGGCGAAACCCTGGCGACCCAGGCCTTCTCAGTGGGTGAGCTGTAGACAACGCCAAGCGAGCCTCAAGTGTGGCTCCACTTGAGCACGTGGCTGTAATTCACACTGTTCTCCGCTACTCAGTACACTGAAGGAGCAGCTGCAGCCACACAGCTAATTAAATCGAGACCAAAGAGAATTTTAAATTAACTATAAATTGCCCCGATCTTTTTTACAGTAAAGGATAGTTGGCACTCTATTAGGTGTGACACAAATTATTTCTTCCTTCTACCTATTTTCTTAGGATAGAGTGGGAAGGAAGGATAGATGCATGCCTTTACTTAATAGCAAGACTTTGTGTTACCACTTTTGAATCCAAGCTGAAATATTCTGTAGGATAATGAAAAACCCAGCAGACTAGGGCCAGAGTTTTTCAGTAGGCAAACAGCTTCAAACTCTCAGCAGGTCAAACAATACTGAACTTGGTTCTAGGGTTTCTTAGAAGACTGGCAAAGTAGGGCCGGTGCCGTGGCTCACTTGGCTAATCCTCTGCCTGTGGCGCCGGCATCCCATATAGGCGCCGGGTTCTAGTCCTGGTAGCTCCTCTTCCAGTCCAGCTCTCTGCGGTGGCCCGGGAGGGCAGTGGAGGATGGCCCAAGTGCTTGGGTGCCTGCACCTGCGTGGGAGACCAGGAAGAAGCACCTGACTCCTGGCTTTGGATTGGCGCAGCGCCAGCTGTAGCGGTCATTTGGGGAGTGAACCAACGGAAGGAAGACCTTTTGTCTCTGTCTCTCTGTCTCTCTCTCATTGTCTATAATTCTGTCAAAAAAAAAAAAGTGGCAAAGCAATCTAACTTTTGTTGCCTTTTTTTTTTTTTTTTAAGATTTATTTATTTAATTGAAAGAGTTAGGGATTGACAGAGATCTTCCATCTGCTGGTTCACTCCCAAGATGGCTGCAACAGCCAGGGCTGGGCTAGACCAGAGCCAGGAGCAGGAGCTTCTTCCACATCTCCCACTTGAATGCAGGGATCCAAGCATTTGGTTCATCTGCTGCTGATCTGAAGCCAACAGCCAGGTGCCTCCTCCTGGTCTCCCATGCGGGTGCAGGGGCCCAAGCACTTGGGCCATCCTCCACTGTACTCCCGGGCCACAGCAGAGAGCTGGACTGAAAGAGGGGCAACTGGGACTAGAACCCAGGGTGCCGGCACTGCAGGTGGAGGATTAGCCTAGTGAGCCGTGGTGCTGGCATGGACTGGCCTTTTATCACGCAAGTGTTATTGCACAGAAAACAAAGGATGGAGAAGACAAGCTAGGGTAAAAGGCACTGAAGGGCCCTAATAGCCAGGTACAGCAGGCCTGGACTGAAACTGGTTTGCACGAAACAGAGAGAAAGGCTATTACTGGAGAAATCTGAACACAGCCTAGTAAATGAAATAACTTACTGAAATGGACAGATCGAAGCCCTGACCAAAGTAGTTAACTTCGCTTCAGTATGGACTATAAAGTCTGTTTTGTTTACAAATGGAGTGGGAGCTTCAAAAGGTTCATGGAAAATGCTTATAATGAAAAAAGCATGAATGAATTTCAAAGTTTTTTTGCACCAAAATAAATGCATACTACCTCGCTATAACATGTCTGAACAGGAGCTAGTCTGAGGCACTGAAAAGAATAAGGCATTAGAATGAAGAGTCCCTAAGGGCAACATGAATTCTAAAAATTAAGCAAGAACAAACATCAAATTTCAGGAAGCTTGGGCATAAGAAGGGTGAAATCACTGCTGTCTTATAAAAAAGTTGAGGGGACACTGCCTGAGAGACAGCAGTTGCGAAATGGGTGACTTCGAAAAGGGATGACGTGATGTTGAAGACGAAGCCCCCAGCAGCAGGAGGCAGCCCCTCCACTTGCTCGTGCTCTAGAGTTCCGCAGGACAGGCATCTGGTGCGGCAGCTTTGATGCCACAGAGGATGCCTGCATCTCAACCAAGCGCCTGGGACTGAGACCCGCTCTGACTTCGCTTCCAGCCAGTGTGTTCTCAGGAAGGAAGCGGGTAATGGCTCCAGTGGTTGGGCTCCTGCCACCCAGGTGGGAAACCCAGATTGAATTCTGGGTTCCGGCTTCAGCTGGGCCCAACCTCAGCTGTTGTAGGCATTTGGGTAGTGAACCAGAGAGCAAAAGCTTGCTCTGCCTTTCAATTGTAAATTTTTTTTTGGAAAAAAAAAAAAAAAAAGTCTGACAATCAACAACAACAAAAAAATCAGCCAACTCAATGGGTTCAGCTTACACAATTCTGACTGAAAAACTAAGGTGGAGCAAACTTTGTACTCGGTGGGTACTAGAACCATTGTGTCCAGACCAAAGATGTCAATGAAAAACTTAAACAAGTGGGATCAATTTTCTGAGCACTTCTTGGAAGAATGTTAAGATGAAACATGGCTTTACCAGTATGCTCCTGAAGACACAGCACAATCAAAGAGCAAGGGCTAAAGAGCGGTGGCAGTGGTCTAGTCACAGCAAAAGTGGACCAGTCAAGAGCAAAGCTTACAGTAACATTTCTCTTGGAGGGATGCTTAATGCATTTTGCCTGACTTTCTAGAGGGCCAAAGAACAACATCTGCTCATCAGGACAGTATTGTGAGAAAGACGGCCAGGCTGTGGCAGGCAAGACCCTGGGACAGCATCAGCAGAGTCCTCCACTGTGATGGTGCTCCTGCGCATTCCTCTGATCAAACAGGGACACTTCAGTGAGAGGTTTTTTTTTTTTTTTTTTTTACTTTTTTGACAGGCAGAGTGGACAGTGAGAGAGACAGAGAGAAAGGTCTTCCTTTTGCCGTTGGTTCACCCTCCAATGGCCGCCACGGCAGGCATGCTGCGGCCAGCACACCGCACTGATCCGATGGCAGGAGCCAGGAGCTTCTCCTGGTCTCCCATGGGGTGCAGGGCCCAAGCACTTGGACCATCCTCCACTGCACTCCCTGGCCACAGCAGAGAGCTGGCCTGGAAGAGGGGCAACCGGGACAGAATCCGGAGCCCCGACCGGGACTAGAACCCGGTGTGCCGGTGCCACAGGCGGAGGATTAGCCTAATGAGCCGCGGCGCCGGCCCAGTTAAGAGTTCTAACGGGAAATCATTAGGCATCTATCCTACAGCCTCCCTTTAACTCCTGATAACTTCTGTTTTCCCATCTTAAATGTCTAAAGGGCATTCACCTTTCTTCAGGTAATCATGTAAATGGCTGCAGCTGACATGGTTAAATTCCTAGCACCTCTTTTTGGTGGGAAAACGAGTATGATGAAAAATGTATGCATAGATCTCAATTTTTTTAAAAATCAAAATTCATCCCATTTTCCATGAACTTTCTGAGTCACCTTCATGGTGATCTGAATGGTAAGAATATACTTTGTATTTTCTAACCACCTACAATAGAGATTTGCTGTTTCTGTAATGATAGAAATTACCGTACACAGTAATAAAACCCATCCCTGATGGCCTTCCCCACTTGTGGAGTACAGTTGGGGTACAGGAAAGCAGAGCAAGGAGGAACTTTTAGCTGAGTAGAGTGAATAAAAATTACTGTGGACTTTTTTGCAACTGCTTTATTTCAGAGGCATTACTTGATGGCAGTATGAAATTGTATTTTAAGTTTACAAAGTTTATACTTTGTGCATTTATCTGTAGTCACTGTGCAATGATGTCAGTCAGATTATGAGGAACATTTGTAAAAGAAGTAATATCACAGCCTTTTTTCAAAGAGTTAATTTTATAAAAATATAAAAATTAACTATAAAATTTATGCAAAAACCTATTTAAAATCTACCTGACCTTGAATTTGGGTATGGTTTCTTAGACCTAAAGCCCAAGCAACAACAAAAAACACTGACTGGATTTCATCAAAACTAAAAACATGTGTGCTTCAAAGGATACTGTCAACAAAGTGAAAAAACTCACAGAATGAGAAGTATCTGCAATTCACACATCTGACAAAGGTCTACCATCCTTACAAATGAACAATAAAGACAAATTATCCAAAGCAAAGGATCTGAACATTTTCCCAAAGGTAAATAAATGGTCAATAAGCAGATAAAAAGTTTATCAACATTAGCCACCACCCAAGTCAGATAACAGTAAGTGTTGGTAAGAATGGGAAGAAACTAGAATGTCTATGTGTTGGTGGGAATGTAAAATGGTACCATCACTTTGGAAAAACTTGGCAATTCCTCAAAGAGCAAAAACAGTTATCATATGACTCAGCACTTTGACTCCCTAAAGTACTGAAAACATTTGTCCATACAAGGTTGTTAACAGTAAGAGTGAGAACAATCCAGATGTTGATCAGCCGATGAATGAATGAATAAAATGTGCTATTTCCACACAAACGACTTATGAAGCAGCCATTCAAAGGAATGAAATACGAATGCATGTTACATCTTAAAACCTATAAGAGGCCAGACACAAAAGGAAGCAAATGTTAGGATTTCATTTATATGAAATAAGCAGAACATGCAAATTGATAGACAAAAAAGCAAATTAGTGGTTATAGACATGGGTTGCAGAAAGGGAAGTGTAAGATTGGCCTGCTAGGTTACATGGTTTCTTTGTGGGGTGATAAGAATGTTCTAGAATTAGATGGTGTGAATACACTAGAAAATGAATGATAGATTTAAAATGGGTGGCTTTTATGGTATATGAATTATACCAATAAAAAGGCTGAAAAGAAAGACATTGCCTTTGGCAACTGGTCCTTTCTCTTTCATAAACTTCAATTGGAGATCTGCGTCAACTAACTGCTCACCTGCCAATTTAGATTAGGAAGTAATTTTTCTCCTATTAGGAAAGGTAAGCAAGAAGATTGTTATATTTAAAGCTAAAAACCTGCATTTCTTAAAAAAAAAAAAAAAAGGCAAAACCCTCACAGTGAGAAGTCACCTTTGCAACTCATCTACTGGAAGAGACGAGACTGTGTACGCTCCAACATATTCAAGGGCACTTAGAAGTGCCAGGCGGGGGGTGAGGGGTGGGAGGTATGGTTTGTGCCTGTCAGACTTGTTCTACCTCAACCACTGGTGAACCCTTCTCTCCTCTGCAGGCCCCATGTCTGCACTCTATGTTCTGCATTCTGTCAAAAGCTAGGAAGATTTTGCTGAGCTTTACTTTCTGTAGTTGAAACACCAATGAAATAAGACTCAGAGAAAACGTCAAAATATTAAATGCTCTCTGAAATTATAAATACTACCCACCTGTGTCTCCATATAACTGAGAGTTGCTCATGGAGATGTTTTATAGTATTTTAAGACTTTACTGGGGCCAATGCTGTGGCATAGTAGGTTAAGCCTATGGTGCCAGCATCCCATGTGGGTGCTGGTTCGTGTTCTGGCTGTTCCTGTTCTGATCCAGCTCCCTGCTAATGGCCTGGGAAAGCAGTGGAATATGCCTCAAGTGTTTGGGGCCCCTATACTCATGTGGGAGACCCAAAAGAAGCTCCTGGCTTTGGATGGGCCCAGCTCTGGCCCTTGTGGCCATTTGGGGAGTCAACCAATGGATGGAAAACATCTCTTTCACTCTGCCTCTCAAATATTTAAAAAAAAAATTTTAGTACTTGGAAGACTTGCAAGTATTTATACTTTTAGCTATTTTCAAATAATACACATTGCTCAAAACAGAAAATACAGAGTTGGCAATGTGTTTTCAATTTTTAAAAAAATATGAAGCTGGACAAGTACTTAATATTAACTATGTAACAAAGAACTCAAGATAAATGCTATAGTTTGACTTCATTTTCAAGAAATAAAGAAAAAGGGGGAAAATGAAAATAACTTCTTGAAATGACGGGCTGGAAAAGTTCCCTAGTGCACAGCATGTTTCAAGAATGAGGCAAAAAAAATTAGTGGAGCAAATAAGTTAACAATGTGGTGTATAGCTCCTCCTAATGGCACAAAGAATGTATCTGCACCGCTGGGTCTTCCCCAGCTGTACTACAGTCGGGTCAGTGACAGTTGCAAGGGAAGAAAGGTGAGCAAGAGGTAGGGCTATTCCAGAAAGAGCTGTCCTAAAAACAGCACAGGAAGGCTATTTTTTAAAGTCAAAATAAAATAAAAATAGATTGGCAACGGGAGCAATGGAGAGAATCTGGACAGATAAGGATGTGCAAGCTACAACACCATCTGGGTAAAGTCAGGATAGCTCCAAGTATAAAATGAATCTAACAGCCTTCACAATTACAAATACTAGCAGTAAATATGTGCTAATCAATACAAGCACACGACAGTACAGCTTAGACTATCACACTAAACGTTTAAGACAAGTATTAATTATTGAGAAAATTGTTTTTTTGGATGTATTTCTATGGAAAAATTGTTAAGTTTGAATTAGCATGTAAGTAGAATGTATTTATTCAGGAGAAAGCTGTCATAATCTTCCAAAATGAGTAACATATTTCCACTTCAAAACGCTGATGAGTCATGGATTTGGGGTGGCAGAGTCAGCATGCTAATCAACTAGTATCTGCTCTTGCACTCGTGATTTCCTGGTTCATAATGATGACCTTTTGATTAGGAAATGGCTCTTCTGATGGCTAGCATGTCAAAGCAATGAACTATTTGATTGTTCAGTAACTTAACTAAAAGTTTCCTGAACCCTAAAGATGAAGCCCAAGTGACATTCCTTGTCTTGCTCTGGTTCCAACACTGGGAGATAACTGCTCTTTTGAAGGGCTTGCCCCTAAATGGACCCCCAGAAAGCTTGCTAAAAGGAAAGGCTTCATGTCCCAACTCAGAAGTGCACATTACTGAAAATCTTAAAACAAAAAAGGCTATGTTCTCATAGTATAAAATAAGTTCCCAAAGATCTCTCAGTAATTATTAAGGGAAAGGGGCAGTATCTCCACAGTGGCTTTGTGATCTCAATACTCAATCAGAATTATTTCTCTAGAGTGGGGGAAAAGAAAAATCGTATCTGTCAACCCTTTCCAGTCTGTTATGAAATAAATCTATTCTAATTAAGTTCATAATTAACATAACTGAATACTATTTTCTAGGCTTAGGCATCTACTGGTCTTTAATAATTACAAAGAATTTTAACACTAGTTGTTTACCTGGTAGATGTGCTTGTCTTCTCTACTGTAGACATGAGTCTTGCAAATGCATCAGTCACTTTGAGGCTTGAGGTGGCAATTTCCAGCTTAGAAGTTGTTAACTCAAACAACTCTGGATCCACACCTTATAGTATAAAATGATAGTCAGTGATGGCAAGCTGCAATGGGTGACTCAATTAGCCACAATCCAAGATGCAAAAGGCAATCTTCTGTAAACATCTGAGTCTTTCACAAGCACAACACATCTTTAGAAAACTGTACCTTTGCATTTACTTTTTAACTTATAAATATTCCACTTTTTGGAGTTTTTATGAAACAGCAAAATGCTTTCAAAATTCTACATTGGAATAAATATATCCTGAATTGAGCTAACCATTTATGTCACAGATGCCACCCAAATACTTGTAAAATTCCTATGTGGTATAGACAATTCCCATAATTTTGGATTAGTTTGTGATATTAAAGTTATTAGTGTTTTGTAAATGGAATGCACATGACTTGTCTGACATCTCTAACTAGTAAAATGATTGATTAGCCTCATTTTTTTAAAGCCCTCTTCTCTTCTCCTACCACTTCCTTGACAATTTTCTCTCCATGTTTTACTTCCACAACAGATCTGGAAGCCAACACAAGCATCATGTTTTAAATATGGTGAGTGATTTGGTTACTTTAAATACATTGTGACTATGAAAGAAATTACTACTAAAGATAAACATAAACCACACTGTTCTCTCTTCAGTAAGAGATGGGGAGCGTAAAATATTTTCAGAAACCGAAAGCACTACTTTTGGACAAAATGAAAATTGTTATGTCCAGGGTAAATTATATTTCCAGTCTCATAACTGAGTCTTATAGGAAATTCTTGTTGAAGTAATTCAAAAGGAAGCTGAGTTATGAGGGTTGGACATCTATAAAGAAAATTTTTCCCCATCTGAGTTAGTTCACTGCAATATAGTTTTTAAAAACTGTTCATGTAGATTTTACTTAAATAACAGTGATGACCACAAAACAATAGTTAAAAGTCAAATTCAAGTTAATCTTTGAATATAGATAGATTTAAAAAGTCTTAAATGCTGTATTCTTCTTGGTACCAGAATACTTGAGAAAAAAAATTCAGTAGTTTTAAGGTGTAACAGAAAAGATGACTGTAAGGAAGACTGTTTTATAGCTTCCTCAAGTTTTACGTATTTCTTTAAAGAGCATGTAAGCTTAGCAGATAATTAACTGCCTTCTATCAACTAACTCTGCAGACTACCAGCAAATATATAGATCTCAGATGTTTACAGAAATAAAACGAGCAAAAGCAGCTTCCACAGTTACCAAGTCCAACAAGGGAGGAAGGCTATAGAAAATGTATGTTGACTCTCCCAAGTTCTTAATATTTCATTAAGGTACAGTTTCAAAGCACACATAAGACTTTTCTATTTCTATGATAAGTTTATGAATTGCAATTAAAATTGTAGATGACTGCAAAGGGATCAAATGAACCCAAAGTACTTTCCTCCTCCAAGTTATAGGTACGATTCCAAGCAACCACAAAATTTAAGTTGATGTCTAATGTACACTGCAGAATAAACTGCATTCTGACTGGTAATGGGAAAATGCTAGTAAAAACTTAATGGGTCTATAAAATACTGGCCACTTGGCTGTCACACAGTAAAGTGGTAGATTAAAAGTAAAAAAAAAAAAAAAAAAAAAAAAAAAAGAAAAGAAAAACACAAAACAAAAAAAGACAACAAAAAAAGCCCAAGCCCAAAACCACCACCACCACACCAAAAAGAGCAACAAAAACCACATGATTAAATAAAAAAAAGATAGTGGCTTACTATACACCAATAATTGGAGAGTAATTTTTAATAGTTTTTTTTTTTTAAACAGAACCTTAATGAGGCATAGTTCAGTTACATAACTAAAGCTAGCCAACCAAGTTCTATGCCAACCTCCTAAGTCTCACACACAAAATAAATAACTGCAAGCTAGGACAAAATGACTTTCCCAGAAACAAGTCAGGAAAAAGTGCAAGCAAGTGGTGAAATGGAATACTAAGGAAAGTGTTGATACCTGTAGCTTGATGATAAGTTGTAACAAAACCCATAGCAATAAAAAGAAGCCAAAGCAAATTTATCAATTAAATTTATATAGCAGCTAGAGCATATTAATGAAAATAAACAAAAATATTTAAAAGGTTTCAAACTAATGAGGACTGCATTTGACCATGCTAATGTCACTTCCATTACAGTTCTAAGCTTCTGAAACCATTTGCTGTGGCAGTAACTGGGTAAGCTGAGCCTGATTATCAGGTCATTTCTGTATTTCTTTATATAGCCAGGTTATTTGTGCTTCTATAGATGGTTTTTAAATGAGCTTGAAATGTAAAAAACTTAAGCCAGGATTTTAAGCACCAAGAAGAAAAACAGTGACTTCATGTAAATTATTTAGTCCATGACAAAACAAAGCTGAAAGCAAATTTTAAATGGGAATTTGATGATTAAATTCCTAGAGATACAGAGATAAGGAAAGTGACATACAAGTTTTTGGTTTCCCCCCACCCCACATTAAATTTCATGAAATGAAAGACAACTAATTAGCACACCCAGGTCATTCCTTAGATCAAACAGATTTAGAAGTAATTTAAGTAATCAGTAAATATCATTTTGAAGTCAAAACCAGATTGTTTGTTCATATGCTTATTAAATCTTGAAAACAATGAAAATGCTACCCAGGGGCTTAGTATACCAAATGGACTTAGAGCTTTTTGTGGAAGGGTCAGATTTCCATAACCAGATCTCGGACAAGATCTCTGGGTTCACCCTTAGCTGACTGTTAAGTCTTTCTCATATCCCACCACTGCTCCTGAGCACTCATAAGTGGGTAGCAGGGTTATCTAGTGATACAGAACAAAACCAGCAAATTCTCAGGAACCAGACTGGCCGTGACACTGGCCACTAGTGGGCACTGAGAGGGATCTTTGCTTTGCATTCTGGGCATCAGCATCTGCACAACACCCCAACAAGTGTCTGGCGATCGAGGGGTATGATCACCAGATCACAAGTTGGGGACGAAAAGGACTCATTAAAATCATACTAAATAAAATATAAACATAAAAATGCCATTATAATTTTAATCTTTTATTCAGTTTGAAAATGACAAAATACATTAGTCCTTTGGTCAATGAACTTTTTCAGGGCTAAACATGAATTTAACAGGCACTCCGGTAAGTTTAAATTCTAGCTTTTAGTATTTCATAGCAACTATTTTCTATTAACTTCTGTTAACATTTTTTTCCTCCATCAAAAACAGTATACTTACTACTTAAGAGCTACATAAAAACAGTAATAGTTCTATGTGAGACTATGTGCTGGACTCCAGTATTTTGGAACCTAATATTCAGCAGCACTAATAATTAATTGAATGCTAGCATTTGTAAATGTCATACTATTACAGGTACTACGACGTAAAATCATCGTTGTATACTAAAATATTTTATCTCTAAACTTATATCTTTTTCAAATGGCTTTATAGAATATACCTTTAAAAATGAGCATATAAAATATCACATTTTCCACTAGGGGTGGGGCATGGAAACCCTGTGTTTAACTGTCCAATGACATTAGGGCTGTTTTTATTCCTAAAAACTACTTTCAGCTTTGAATATTACACTCAAAGTTTTTCTTAAAACATTTGTTGAAGTCCAATACTAGAAAATAAGAGATAAAAGAAATGCATTAAAAAGACAGAGAGAATGCAATCTACTGGTTTCCTTGTTTATAGGAAAGTCAAGTGATGTGGTCATGCTTTTAGTAAATCGACTAGAATTGTGGTTTTAACACTCGGCTGACCTGGGATTGTGGTGCTGCTGCTAGAGCTACTGTCATCCACGGGCCCAAAGAAATCAAGGTTCAGAAGAGTGGAACCTCCACTAGCTTGAAATTCAGTGACCGTGTTGGTAGGCAGCCACACAGAAGGTAAGCCAGGGGAGGAGGGGTGATGTGTAAAAAGGGGTAAGACACACACTTGAACATGCAGGTTATAATTAGTAGTCATTACACATTTTAAAAATCAACATTAAAACAATGTGTACAGTATTAGTTTTTCATTACTAAGGACATTTCTAAAGTAACAATTTAATTCAATGTACATCTCCTCATGTACAACATAAAGAATATAACACTTAGTAAGGTTTTCGTTAGTTCAGTTCTTTCAAAACTGGAAACGATATCAGAAAGACCAGAGGGAAAGTGTACCCGTTAAAGGGAAACAATACTTTAATCTCAACCCAACATTCAATCACTGTACATGCCCAAATCAATCTTTCGTGTTAGTAATGTTGCTTTCTAATGACTTTTTTTTTAAACAACAAAGTTGTCAGTTTCAGGACACGCACCAATACGTCAGCTTAGTTTAAAACATAAGAAATGTCATAACTGCCCTACCCTGATGTGCAACCTCAAGCTGTACTGTTCCCCTTTAACTCTGAAACAGTAATCAGAAAAAGTATACATTTTTTTAAAGAAACTGTTAATAAAAACAAGATGATTTGACTAAAGACACCGGACAACAGCAAAAGGTGCATCCAGGCTTTCCTTCAGCACAGTTTTTCAAACAGATGCTTTCCGTGTACCCCAGTACCTCTACTATAAGGCAAAGCTGACAGGGTTTCAGACCATGGCAGTAACAACTGCATTTAGACTATGACAGGTATTTTAGACGATGGCTCAAACAACTTAAGCACAAGGAGTGAGAGCAATCGTCTCAGGGTCTATTTAAAACTCGTGATGTCAACACTAGAAACTAGTATTAAAGACCCCCCACATTACTAGAATGTTAATTCTTTTTCAGGATTTTCTCTTAAAGCCATTAAGTAAAATCAGTTATTTCTAGAACTGCCTACTAGCATTTGGAGATCGTTTTAGAAAAAAACATCAAGAAAATGATTTCTCCATTTGCATATAAGGTATGCTACAAAATATTTTAGGTCAGTACATAGGGATCTATCTGCACATTGTTTTTGGCTAAATAATTGTGCTTTGAAGCAGCCTCTAGCCACAAGACTCTGCATCCAAGAAAATTCCAAAAATTAAACTTACAGGAAAAAATTCAAGTAAATTGGTCCTAGCTAAAATATCATTTAAACTACCCAGATAGCTGTCAAAATAAGTCAAAAATCAGCTTAAGATAAACCAAAACTTTGCCTAGATACCACTACCTGTCTCTGGACATTAATAATAATAGTAACGGCTGGTTTCTTGAGCATTGCTATTCAGAAAGAAAGCCTGAATTTCCAAAGGTAAGAGTAGGAAGTTACGTTCAAACAAAAAAAAAGAAAAAGAAATCAGCAGAGAGAAGTCTGTCTGAACTTGGTAGCTTTCTTAACTCTAGCTCTGGTGCTAGAGGCTCTACGGAGAGACGTACCATCTAAAGGGTTAGTAAGGCCACTGCTACTCCAGTCAAACTGGACGGGTGGTAGAGACTCCTAGAGTTGAAAACCAAAAAATCAAAATTAATCAGTACAGGTTGTAGCAAATGTAAAGACTGCTTAAAAGAAAACTATCATAGCAAGACCATTAGGCAACAAGTACCTAAAGACAAAATTGGGATAATTCACAATTTCAGAAGATTCACCTGCAAATATTAACACAAACTGAAATTGCAAATTTACACAACAGCATAGTTTATTGACATTTAAAAAGTATGAATAATTCCTTATCTTTATATTTTCAAACAAATGCATGGACTGAATACGTATTAAGATCTTGATCTACTCTCAAACCACGACTTATACATCAACTGCTGGCTTGATTCCAGTAAAAATCAAATATTTTAAAACATTGACTTTTTGCTAAAGCGGGATTAAATGTATTTTAAAGGACTAGCCATTTACAATTTAACAGATAAAAATGTAATTAAGAAGGGTCCCATGTTCAAAGAGAGGAGATCTAGGTTTATTCAAGACAATAACTACTAAATAACTAGATGTATGACCTTGTATAGTTCAGTTAGTTTAGCTAGTTGTCATACATAAAATGAGAAGTTTTAAGATTTCTCATTCTGTATAATTTTCCAAATTCTGAGCCTATTAAATGGCGCCTACATTGTTAAGTGTTGATTTCAATCAATTTTTAAAACAATATAAAGGATATTCAGAACTGACTTGTCTATTCTAGGCTTTAAATTTCACTACTGCCAAATATAAAGATAAAGCAAACAGTAAATATAAGATGGGATACAATACAAAAATATTTGAGTATGTACTTTAAGAATAGTCTTAGAAAACTAATTTATCTATATTGTTTAGGGGTTCATGTTGACATAACTTACTGAAATGACCTGTTGTACACTTTTAATACCAATGTTTCATTTTTTTCTTTTGGTATTGCTTATCACTATGCTTTAGTGTAAGACAGGCACTAGTAAAATCTTGTTCATGAGGGTTTTTTGTTTTGTTTTTTCTTGGAGGTAAAGACACTGTTCCTTCTAGGAGAAGAACATGGAAATCTAATCCCATTATATAGAACATCTGCCTTGATAACTAGGACAGCAATGATAGACAAAGTAACACAAGTATTTAGTTTCTAAATCTCAGGTGTAGCCTGGTGGTTGACGGTGGGAGGCATAAACCAAGTAAAATGCTAACATCAATGGCGGTCAGGGATAAGGGAGGGTTGGGGTCGGGAAGTGGGACTATAAAGGGAGCTCCCTGTGGTGTTAATGTTGGTTACATGAAACTACCCATGGGACAAAATGATAGTGACCTATATACACATATTATACCAGTGTCATATTCCTGGTTTTCAGATTATACTATTTCACATGCAAATGCAGGGTAAACTGGTTAAGGGTATAAGAGACTACTCTGCACTATCTATGCTTATTTCAAATACAAATTAAAAATTGCTGGTGAAAATGTACTTTGTACATTAATTACAAAACTAACAGAAAATTTGGCAAAGATTTTCTTCAGCTAATCTGAAAAACAAAAAGCTCTAAGCATTCCAGCAGTGACACTTTGTCATATTCAACAATGAATGGATGGAGAAAAGCTAAGTTTATGCAGTAACAGAATTTCTGGATAAATGAACAACCTCTTTCATTAACACACTTTATCTAAATGATGTCAAGTAGCAAGGTGCTCAAACATTTAAGTGATTTGCTGGATTTTTAGCTTCTCATGCAGGAGTATGGCATTTTGAAGACAAAGCCAAATAGTAATAATGAAGTGCTAAACACAACTGGAAATGCAAAACATAAAGAAAATCCTAAAAGCAAAAGGGCTGATGATACGACAACTCAGAGAAAGTACTTTAAATACTTGGATTCTAGTCCTAGCTCTCCTACTCATATATAATTTTGGGTAAATCACTCAGCCTTTCCAAGGATGTTTCCTTTTTTGTAAAAAGAAGCACAGTACTAGATAATCATTTTTCCTTCTAGCTCTAAGATTGTTCTACAAGTAAGACATCAAGTAGCCTGAGAGAGGAAGTTGGTAGTGTTGGCTAGTTTGATAACTGCTAATCAGAGTTGACTATATTCGGCAGTGAAAAATGTATGGTTAAAGCACTGAGTTTTCTAAGAGGGGAACTCAGTGTGGCACCATGAACGAAGGGACCTTCAAGTTCAGTTGACTTTTAAGTTTCATTATTTTCTGTCCTTAAGCTGTCTTTTCAGGTAAAAATGTCTTAGAAGAAAACATACCATTATTAAGTTATTGAAGTCTTTAGTAAGAGATGCAATGGTTACAAGAGTGATGAGCACAAGCCAGTTTGGATGAAACACAGAAACTCAAAGGGCACCAAAACTAGGATTGAAGGAAAGCATGCAGTCATTAAGGAAACTGTTCAAGAAGTTACTGTTAAGATGTCCAAGGTATATTTTTCGGGGGCCGGGGTGGGTGTAAAAAAGTGCTTGAACAGGACTTTGCTAATACAATTTACTAAGCATCTAGCACTAAAGGTTGTGGCTGTTTTATTTTAAACAGGATCAGGGGCTGCCGCTGTGGCAGAGTGGGCTAGGCATCTGTCTGTGGTGCCAGCATCCCATGTGGGAGACCTGGAAGAAGCTCCTGGCTTCGGATCAGCCCAACTCCAGCCATTGCGCCCATCTGTGTAGAGCCAGTAGATGGAAGACTTCTCTATCTCTCCCTCTCTCTGGGATGATACGGTTCCAAGATGGATGTCAGGCATCTTAGCACAAAATTTGAAAATAACATTTTTTATTAGGTCAACTGGTGTGCTCTTAAGCCCATAATCATGTAAGAAAGATGATAAACTACAAATAACTACAAGGCACTAATCACATGCTGGACAAGAGACTGCATATATGTGAGTATCCTGCAAGAATAGATGGCCCTCTGGCATAGTAGCCATCTTCACATGTACTATATGATGTTTGCACAGTGTTGAAATCTCAGAACTCGTCCCATTTGTCAAGCAAAACATGACTGTATATAATAAGATCAAATCAACTAGGGGAAAAAGTGACAGGCAACAGCTAACTGATAATAGATTTATAGGGTTGTAATATCTGGAAATGGCTGGATGGAGGAGAAAGAGGAAGAACATAGCAACAAATGGTCTCAATAAGCTCTGTTTTCAGTAAATGTACTTAGCAGCTACTCCAAACACTCTAGGACTAAGAATGTTGACTGAAGAAAAGGTGGAAATGTGCCATGGGAGAGGTAATTTTGGAACTGGCATAGATAAAGCAGGCTTATGAGAGTACTTGGTATCAGAGGATAATATCAGGAAAAGAAAAGGAACATAATTATACAAATTTTACCTCCTGAAACATTTTGTCCACAACACCTTGGCTGCTGCCAACCATCAAGGAGGCTCAGTGCCCGTGATAAGCTGGCTTCACAGTAATGTTCATGCTGTGCCCAAGTAGAAAACACAGTGCTGCACGGCAGCAACCCTAGATGTTTCTTAAAATACACCTGATAGGGCCTATGCTTTACATATTTTCTAAAAAAAGATCTTGTGACCAAGTCAAGTTGAGAAATGAATTAAAATTAGGATTCTTTACTGCTGGACTCTTCAGAGTCCTCAGCGTGTCTTGTGAATCTTCAAGGCTAGACAGGAGGGTATGACATTTCCCAAACTTAACTTTACTCTGAAATCCTTCTTTAATGGACCACTTATGGGGATTAGTGTTCAATGGAACATAAATTTTGGGAAAGGAAGACTCCCAAACATTTTGGTGTTGAGCAACGGGGCCAATGTTGTGGCATAGTAGGTTAAGCCTCCGACGCCAGCATCCCATAGGGTGCTGGTTTGAGACCCGACTGCTCCACTTCTAATCCAGCTTCCTGCTGATGTGCCTGGGAAAGCAACGCAACAGAAGATGGCCCGAGTGCTTGGGCCCCTGTACCCACAAAGGAGACCTAGAAGAAGCTCCTGGCTTTGGCCTAGCCCAGCCTTGGACGTTTGGGCTGTCTCTCCCCCCACCCTCTAATTCTGCCTTTTAAATAAATAAATCTTAACCTTAAATATCAATCTTCCAAAAAAGTGTTTAACCAGCACTAAATCATTTTCCAATTTGATGAGGGAAGAGTAAGCAAATCAAAATGGTCTATTTTTCTCAGGTAAAAAGAGAAGGAAGAATTTGGTATTAAACTTGTTAAACTAATAAATTTGTGCTTAACTGTGCCAAGGAGGTAAATAAGAGAGCTTTTTTTCCTCATCTATAGAATGTTTTGCTAAAGGTCACATCATTTCAACTTTAATGAGCAGTGTGAGGCATTAAACACACCTAATGTATTGCTTTATAAAATTTCACACAGTTTCAGGAAAAACACAATGGCAAACTTGAAGAGTTGATACAAATGTAGAAGTATTTTTCATTCCTGTTCTTTTTAAAAGCATCTAGCACTTACCAGATTTGTATCAATATTTATGATCATTCAATGCTCAAAATGCAAGGTACTTTATAGAAATATCAGCTTCAAACTTTGTAGTTTAAAAGTCAAAAGGACAAGGCCTGAGAAGTTTTAGAAACTTATCCCTAATCACCCAGTTCTCAAATTATTTCTGTTTTTAATAGAGATTAAGTTAAATCTCAATAACTTTAAGATACTTTTAAGGGGGAAATGTGCAAATGTGTGTGCAATTAAACACATCTACACACATTTTACCTGGAACTGATCAGATGTACATGTGTTCATCTCCGGTGACATGGTGGTTGTCTGGCCAATGGAAGCGATTTTTTCTGCAGCAGACAGTGGTTTCAATGGTTCCTTGGTGGGCTCTAACATACCCTGAAAAAGGTATATTAGCCATTAATTGGGGGTGGGAGGGACCAACCCATAAACTTCATAAGAAAGTTAATCTACCAGAAAGAAGAAAGAAAAAACTAGGGCATAAGGAGGGCACTAAAGACTAAAAGTAACTATTAGCATTTTGTTTACCAAAGTACTATGATTAATACAGTCTTTTGATTCCAAAAGCATTTTAAATGGGACATTTTAAAGTGCATAGTTATCACTGTCCCAGGAAAGTATAAGTACAACTTAGGAAGTGGCTGTGGGAAAACACAATAATCTAGCACATCTAGGCCTTAAGACTCTCAAGACACTGAAACTGTAGGAAGCGGCATTCTTAATACACCGCATGCTGTAGTGGCACTTGGGGAAGTGAGGGCTGGTTCTCAAACACGCCATAAAATCCTGTGACTTCTATATCCTTAGGTGTGAATTTAGGGTTGGTCCTGATCAGCACTAAAGAGAGACAGCCATTTTAAGGGAAAACAACTTGCGTATTCGACTAGGTTTCCAATAAATGTAACATACTTTTTGAAAAAGAGGAAGATATTCAGGATGGGTACAGAAATGCACACACACAAAAATCTGTTTTTATATCAACACTTAACCAAACAAAATAGGAATAATTCAGGCTAATGACTTGGAAGAAAATCAACCTTTTACTATTTTTAAATAATTCTTAGGGCTAGTGTTGTAGCACGGTGGGTTAAGCTGCTGCTTGAGAAATCAGCATCCCATATTGGAGCGCCAGTTATACTCCCAGCTGCTCTACTTCTGTTCCAGCTCCCTGCTAATGTGCCTGGGAAGGCAGTGGAGGATGGCCCAAGTGCTTGGGCCCCTGCAACCTATGTGGGAGATCTGGATGGAGTTCTAGGCTCCTGGCTTTGGCTTGAGGCAGCCATGACTGTTGCTGCCATTTGTGGCATTTGAGGAGTGAACCAGTAAATGGGAGACCTTTCCCTGTCAATCTGCTTGTCAACTAACTCTTTAACTGATAAAAATTCAAGAGCTTATCAAGTATTTTTTTAAAGGTTATACTCCAGACAAAGGCTACCCTTAATTGGGGGTAAAAATCAAAACTGCCAAGTCAGTAATGTCAAAATCTATAAATTTCTTTTTTTTATTTTATTTTTTTATTTTTTATTTTTTATTTTTTGACAGGCAGAGTGGACAGTGAGAGAGAGACAGAGAGAAAGGTCTTCCTTTTGCCGTTGAGCTTTCAGGAGACTGCTTCCCTCCCCCTACCCCAAAAGTTAATGAAAGCAACTTACAGATGCAATTCTTAGTACACATCAAAGGCTTTAATCATAAAAACAGTAAAGCTAGAAAGATGAAAATAAATTCATGATCTAACTCAATACCATATGTATTATACAGGATCTGTACTGTGCACTTTGGCAAAATATGACTAGTCTCAGCAAAGTGTTCTAATTTGTACTATCATCTTAAACCAGTGGTTCTTTCTGCATGACCTAGAACTTGTCAGCCGTGAGTAGTGTCCAGCAACCTCCATTTCCACAAGTCTTTCCACACACTCAAGTCTGAGAACCAGTGACTTAAAGGATTACACCACCCCATGAGATCAAAAGATTAGTGAGCATCTCACAGGGTAACGTACCAAGGAAAAACTTCAGGTATAATTAAAATTTTATGTTAACAATGAATTTTCAAATGAAAGACATTAGAGATGGAGGTGAAAAGAAAACTTAGATCCACTAAATAAACTTTGGTATTAAGACATCATAAAAACAGTGAAACTATAAGGAAAGGTTGTAGTCAAGATAGAAAAATAAAGCACATGTTTTCACCACTAACTCCTCACAAGCCTCAAAGAACTGGCCAATGTGCTGAAGCTATGTATAAGCATTAAGTAGGTCACTGCCCCAGTATGTGGAACCAAAGAGCTGACCCATGAAAATACCCCATTCCTACTAAGAACCTGAAAATACTAACACCAACACCATAACCTCTGGTATGCTATTTACAAAGAAAATTTAAACAACCAAAAAGCTAAGGTAATGTCCTGGATGGTTTTTACCAAAACAACAGAAAAGAGTGCAAGAATCAAGGTTTTTAAAATACAGCTTAACCACTCAAAAAGGTGTAGAAACTAATTAAAACAAAAACACTCAAGCACAAAAAATTCCACAAAATAAAACAACAAACATAAAATATTTCAACTCACTATCAATAATTAGTGCTTATTTGTGGAAAAAGTTGGTAGATAAAAGGTCACGTACCACAGCAAATTCACTTTCACATGCACATAATAGATTGCATAATTTAAATTCTATACCAAGGGCTCCTTGGTTATTTTTTAATTTATAAATATTTTTAAATTTTCAAGTTTTTGGTTATAATTACATTTTAAACTGGTTTAACAGAGATGAATTTTTAGTCACCAATAACTCAAAGACACAGCAAAAACACACACATCAAACTTTAAAATATGACTGAGTCCTGATAAGGAACAGAATGAAAGCGCCTCAGTTTTCTGGAACTACCTGGCATATCTGAAAAAACAAAACACATTTTGAAAACATTACTAGAAAAACTATGGGTCAACCTAGGGCACTGGTTCATTTTAATTTATTATAATTTGGTACTTCCAAGCTTTTATGTATCCACAGCCTCAATATTTCATTATCTTCAGACCCTTCAGCTTCTTCCCTTTTTTTCCCCCAACATTTATAACTGAGAGACAGAGTCAAAGTCAGAAAGGGAGAGCCAGGGATCTTTCAACTACTGCTTCATTTCCCAAATGTCTGCAAACAGCCAGGGCTGGGCCTGGCTGAAGCCAGGAACCTAGAACTCCATCCAGGTTTTCCACGTGAGTGGCAGCAGCCCACGTCACTTGGGACTCTATTCCAGGCACTCCAATATAGGACGCAGGCATCCCAAGCAGAGGCTTAACCCGCTAAGCCACAACATCCACCACACCTTCTTTTTATATCTCGTTTGAGAAACAGAAAAGCACAGAAGGAGTGCGCCCATGTGCTGATTCACTCCCTAAATGCTCACAACAGCCACCAGGCCGGGAGCCAGGAATTGGGAATGTAATACAGGTCTCCCAATTACATGAGGCATCATACTGTCTCCCAGGGTCTGCATTAGAAGGAAGCTGGCTTCAGCAATTTAACAGGGCATTGAACTTCAATATGGGATGCAAGTGTGTTAACCGTGAGGTCAAATGTCATACCCAGCTTTTTTCAAAAGCAAGTTTAGAAAAGAAAAATGGAGAGAAGTCTCCAAATGTACATTTTACAGAGTTGCATGTGCTAATATTACTAGGATAAAAATAATTTTCAAGTATCTATGATTAATAGAAAAATGTCCTGAGATCAAGATTTGAAGGGATTTGTGAGATTAAAAATCTATACCCTTAATTTTCCTACTAAATGCCTCTTAAATAGGCCTCTATATAATTTCTTTTTGATGATTTTATAGAATAAATGCAGTAATAACATATATGTAGAGACACTGCTTACTTACCAGTCCTGCTGCATACATGGGCACTATAACAGGCTGCTTCTTATTGCCTGTGAAGAGCTACACGCATGTCAGAAAGAAAGAACATATATTTAGACAAAGACCTGTAATATAATGAAATAGTGTTCAAAATATGATTACAATGCTTACTACAAATACTGTAAAGGATAATTAAAAAAAAAGATTTATTTATTTAAAATCAGAGTTACACAGAGAGAGAAGGAGAGGCAGAGAGAGAGAGAGAGGTCTTCCATCTGCTGGTTCACCCCCCAGCTAGCCGCAATGGCCAGAGCTGTGCCGATCGGAAGCCAGGAGCCAGGAGCTTCCTTCAGCTCTACCACGCGGACTTGGTCCATCTTCTACTGTTTTCCCAGGCCACAGCAGGGAGCTGGATCGGAAGTGGAGCAGCCGGGACATAAACTGGTGCCCACATGGAATGCTGGCACTGCAGGCGGTGGCTTTAATGGCTATGCCATAGCGCCAGCCCTGATGTGAAGGTTAATTTGAGCAAACTGGTAAATTACCCATATGGGGTTAAATTTTTATCTCCTAGTCCAGTTTTTTTTATCTTACATTTAAGGGAAAAATACAACTTTTTCTAAAAATATGGATTTTTTCTAAAATTTTGGATTACAAGCATGCAGGGCCAGTGTTGTGGTATAAAAGGTCAAGTAGCCAACTGCAATGCTAGCATCCCATATGGGTGCCAGTTTGTGTCCCAGCTGCTTCACTTCTCATCTAGCTCCCTGCTAATGGCCTGGGAAAAGCAGCAGAAGATGGCCCAAGTGTTTGGGTCCCTGACACCCACATGGGAGACTCAGATGAAGCTCCTGGCCCAGCACTGGCCATTGTAGCCATTTGGGAAATGAACTAACAAATGGATAATCTCTGTCTCACTATCTCTGTTAACTCTGTCAAGTTAGTATATAATCTTAAAAAAAAATAAAAGCATGGGTTGGGCATGTGGCCTAGTGGTTACATGGCCAGTTAGAACACTGGAGTCCCAAATCAGAGTGCCTGTGCTCCACACTGGCTCTGGCTCGATTCTGGCTTCTTGTTAGTGCACACCTGAGAAAGCAGCAGTGGTGGCTCAAACAGTTGGGTTCCTGCCACTCACGTGTGAGGCCTGAATTGAGTTTCTGGCTCCAGGATTAGCCCCTGGCCACTGTGGGCATTTAGGGAGTGAATCAGCAAGTGAGCACCCTCTTTCTCTCTCATAAATGGACCAATATTTATTTTTCTGAGGAACTGCTTATCACAGCCTGAAGAAAATTAACAGAATTTAAAAACATGCAAAAGTTGATGAAGGGATTTTTTTAAAGGTCTAACAAACTCACAATGTTTCGGGTATCTATTCCCAAGGAGCACAAAAGCTTCTTGTTGCTGTGGGAGCCACCCCACTGATATCTCAAGCCATACGCATCATGGATGTCCTGTAGCTCAGTCCATACGTCCAGCAGTTCTCTGCAGAAGGCCATGATGAAACCACCAACATTATAGGTTACTCAATAGCTTTCACTTTGAATGTGACTACAACATTTCATAAATTCCATTTAATCTTGTGTTTAATGTGAATAAACAGTTATTATTTGAATACAAGCAACACTTAGTCATCAGAAAAGTTCACATCAAATGGCAATAATCAGGCATACATTTAGCTCATGTGTGATTATTATAAAAAACAAAAAAATTTAAAGAGCAAATCACTCAGCATTCTACTTTCATATAGCTATTTAGGGGCAAGTGTTTTGGTGCAGCATTAGTCACTTTTTGGGATGCCCACATCCCATAACAGCATGCCTGGTTTGGATTCTGGTTTCTCTGTGTTCAATCCAGTTTTCTGGTAACGCACACCCTAGAAGACGGCAGTTGATGGCTCAGTACTTGGGTCCCTGCCATCCATGTGAGAGACCTGGACTGTGTTCTGGGCTAATGGTTTTGGCTTGGCCCTGCCCCAACTGTTAAGATATTTGGGAAGTGAACCAGTGGATGCAAGACCTTGCTCTGTCTCTATGCATTTCAAAAAAAAAAAAAAAAAAAGTTATTCCGTATCTGTGTTTTCTTCTTGTGTTCTGATCCGCACACACAGTTCCAATTAAAGCATATATAAAATTTTGTATTTTTTTCAGATTTTAAGCATTTCCCAGTCTACACATGTACAGTAGGCCCCTGGCCCCAAAGTTTGTTTTCTGCAGCTTCAGTTACTTGTGGTCAATTGTGGTCCAAAAAATATTAGATAAAAAATTGAAAAAATTCATCAGCTTTAAACTGCACACTGTTCTGACTGTTCATCTCATAACATCACAAGGAAAAGAAGGGTAAGTACTGTATAGTAAGATATTTTGAGAGAGCTACAACACTGATGTAGCTTATTATTCTATTTTACTGTTGTTTCTAATCTCTTACTGTGCTTAATTTTAAAATCAAACTTATCACTGGTATACACATATAAAAAAAAACATAGTATACAGAAGATTCAGTATGAAGGTCTGTGGAGAACTCCCACATCTTCTTCAATGGCTGTGTAATGTTCTATTAGGCTGATATACTATCATTTGCTTAGCTATAAAGCTCTAAAGCCGTTTTACTGTTTGGCTCCTATTACTAGTAAGGCAATGAATATCTTCCTGTATTTTATGATGTACATTGTTATACAACTGTATTATTCTAGTAGGCGCTGCAGCTCACTAGGCTAATCCTCTGCCTTGCGGCACCGGCACACCGGGTTCTAGTCCCAGTCGGGGCGCCGGATTCTGTCCCTCTTGCCCCTCTTCCAGGCTAGCTCTCTGCTGTGGCCAGGGAGTGCAGTGGAGGATGGCCCAAGTATTTGGGCTCTGCACCCCATGGGAGACCAGAAGAAGCACCTGGCTCCTGCCATCGGATCAGCGCGGTGCGCCAGCCGCAGCGAGCCGGCCATGGTGGCCATTGGAGGGTGAACCAACGACAAAGGAAGACCTTTCTCTCTGTCTCTCTCTCACTGTCCACTCTGCATGTCAAAAAATAAAAATTAAAAAAAAAAAACAAAACCTGTATTATTCCCTTAGAATCAATCTCTTGAAGAGAAATTACTGGACCTAAAAGTATTAACCATCTACAATTAGCACATTAAAAAAAACACACAAATGGTTTAAAAACAGCAAAGAATATAAAATTTTTGTTCCTTCATCTTCATAGAAATCATCCCAAAACAAAAGCCTCTTAAAGAACAAAAACTGAATCTCTACCTTGAATGAAGTCAAGAGACACTTAAAACCCCATACCATAAATACAGACATCACAAGGAGGAACGAAGGAGTAACTGACCTAGCTCAATGGAAGGAGAGACTTGAGGACAGAGAAAGCTTCCAGGGTTAGTGAGTGATAAAATGAAAAAGAAGAACCCAAGGGTAATAACTTGGAAATGAAAATTACAAAATCAATCTGGAACTGCTAACATCCAATAATTTATAAGAGTTCCAGAAGAAGAAAATAAGGCCGGCGCCGCGGCTCACTAGGCTAATCCTCCACCTAGCGGCACCGGCACACTGGGTTCTAGTCCCAGTCGGGGCGCCGGATTCTGTCCCGGTTGTCCCTCTTCCAGGCCAGCTCTCTGCTGTGGCCAGGGAGTGCAGTGGAGGATGGCCCAAGTATTTGGGCTCTGCACCCCATGGGAGACCAGGAGAAGCACCTGGCTCCTGCCATCGATCAGTGCGGTGCGCCGGCCGCAGCGTGCTGGCCGTGGCGGCCATTGGAGGGTGAACCAACGACAAAGAAAGACCTTTCTCTCTGTCTCTCTCTCTCTCTCTCACTGTCCACTCTGCCTGTCAAAAAAAAAAAAAAGAGTTCCAGAAGAAGAAAACAGAGGAGTGAAGGAACAGGACAAGGGCAATGTTTAATAAAATTGAACAGATTCCTCCAGACTGAATGCAGCTACAAATTTAATGCAAGAGTGGAATAAAATAAAATTATCTTCCACTTTTTTTTTTTCTTCAGGAGGGTAATAAGATGTACTACAAAAAATGGAATTTAAGTGAAAGGAAATCCCAAGACAACACACATATAATAAGCTTAGAATGAAACCATTCTAGGTGGAAATAGGACAATGTGTGTGTGGGAGGGTTGCTCCGGGGAAAAATGTAAACAATAAAACTGTTTTTCTTAAAAAAAGATCGATGGATCTACATCTACCTATCTATCTAAAATGCAGAGCAACAAAGGAAGAGGGAGAGATAGAAAGAGCCCTTCAACCTGTTGGTTTACTCCCCATATGACTGCAACAGCCAGGTCTGGGCTAGTCTGAAGCCAAGAGCCAGGAAAGCCATTCTTGCTTCCACATGGGTGGAAGGGATCCAAGTACTTGAGCCATCATCTGCTGCTCTCCCAGATGCTTTAGCAGGAAGCTGGACAGAAAGCAGAATAGCTGGGACTGGAACTGATGTTCTGATATGGGATGCTGGCATTGCAAGCAGTGGTGTAACCCCTGTGCCACAACACAGGCCTCTAAAATTGTACTGGCAGGCTGTTGGAGGGTAGAGAGAAATGCAGAAAACAAAACAGAGCAACCATTAAGTCCAGGAGAAAGTTGTACTATAAAGGTAACAGTGGCTTAGCAGTAAACAATATTTACATGATAATACTATAATTACATTATAAAAAGGAAAATACTAAATAAGAAAGTAACCAAAAACTATGATGTAAGTATACTGGAAAAACAGTAAAATAGCAGGGGTAAAATCTAAATTCTCACCCATCATACTAGAAAGACAAAAGATAACATTCAACACTGACAGATTAGAATAGCAACTTAGAAATAGTCAAATAGCTAAGAAGTGGAGAAGCAGGACATTTTTTCATTGTTAGTCTTTTAGCACAACATCACTAAGCCTTAAGGCAATAATGTTTTAGGTAACTTATAAATTAGATTTGTTGAAACTAACAAAACACCTGTTATCTAAGAGCTGTCTACTACTTACCCACTTTCAGCTAAGGCCTCTCTCGCTTTTCCTAGCAGGGTGCTTGTTTCCAGCAAGTGCTTCAGGGAAAGAACTTCCTCCTCAGCATCAGGGACAAATGTGGAGGGAAAACAGGCTTCGAAAATTCGCTCCAGGCGGTTTAGTAAAGCTGTCTGCATCAAAACATTCCCCCACCGAAAGTTTATTTTCAGTTCTGATTTTAAAAATGTAATAGTTTTGTATTTAAAACACACTATTAACGACAGAGAGGGAGGGAAACTACCATTCAGAAAACAATAAGGAACATCATTACTCATGGCACAATCATTTGGAATGATTAAATAATCATGGTGCCAATGCATAGGTGACAATGACATGTAGCTATACACCAAGCACCACACTGGTACATTAGACACATCGCTTTACTTAGTTCATTACAAAATCTATGAAGAAGAAATTATTACTGAATTGTACAGTGAGAAACTAATCTCAAAGTTTGAATCATCTTCCCAAAGCAAAATCAAAATTAAAAAAAAAACCAGCCTCATATTCTTTCCATGACACTGAGATGTTTTTATTACCACTCATCAATGTGCTTTAGATTTAGGATGCTTGTGAAAAGAATTATACTATTATGGCTGAACAGAACTTTTTTCTTGGATATAAACCCTTGAATTTTGAAAGCAGTTTTGAAATATCTCTGCTGCTAACAGTATACACTAACATAAGAATGTCTCAGTTTTTACTAAGAAATTCAACAGCTCACTTACTTTGTTATCTTTTAGAAATTCCTTCTCTCTACTTTGTTGCATGAATATGTATATTGTTGAATAGAACACTACTTTCCCTCAAATAAAGCTACATATTGCCTAGAGGATTTTCACTAAGAATGACCAGATACATTTTTTGGCATTTTAAAGTATTTTCATTAATTAAAATTTGTTGGACTTAGATTACCTTACCTTTTATTTTCGGACACCATTAGATTTATTATACATGCAACCTATAATAACATTTATTCCCATTTTCTCAACTATATTTCTAATATATGTAAGATAGCATCCAACTAATATCCATTTACTGTTTAAATATCAAGGAATTAAAAAAACCTGCTAATAAGTTAAAGCCTGTTTTAAAATTAAGTGTACTAACCAAAGTAGAAGAAAAATGCCACATCAGGGTGGTACTTCCTGCCAATTAATAGAAACAAGTCAACACTAGTTTTTGTTGTACCATGTACTGAGAAAGCAGGAAAATAAAAACAAAAATTTTCATGAACATGTTTTCCAAACCAAAAATCTCTCTCCTGGAAGTTCTATTGGCCCAAAAGCTTAACACTGTATAATTAGTCTCAGGATACTCTTCTGCCAACTCTACAGTCATTCTAACATGTTCATTATATCCACGTGTGTGATATGGGAAAAGTCGCTCACTATCAATAATGAGCCCTAAAGCAAGGGGCAGACCCCAGATCCCAAGGCACATGAGACCTGAGTGTGTCAAGGGGACCCAACACTTACTTGCTTCAACAGAGGGCACAGACACTACTTTTAAAGGGATCAGATAACCGACTAATTGGAAACATGATGACTGTTGGCTCCTCCTGGGCAGGGAAGGTAAACAAAATCAAATATGTACTCTGTTATTGTTTAAATGGAATGGAAAAAACTGGCCCTAAAACATTTTCATTCATTTGGACATTATTATACATAACTACCTGCCAGCACTCAGGGTCACCAATGAACAGATGCTCAAATGAGTGAAATGCACTTGAGGAAAAGCAGTGGTAACCTAGTGACCCAATTTTTACATATAAATTACAGGAAACTTTTAAAAGACAGATTCATGTATTTTAGCATTAGATATAAAATCTGATTGCTTCAAATATTTTGTTGAATAAGGTAGAGAGCATGGGTCAGCAATCTTCTAGATACAGCTGATAGTAAACATTTTAGGCTTTGTAGTTGTGTGCCAATGAAACTTTATTAGAAAAACAGGCAGCACACAGATTTGTCCCATGGGCCATAGTTTTCCAGCAACCAGTAACAACCAGAATCTACTAACAGCAACACCCATCACAAGGAAGGAACTCAACAATTCAGCAAGAAAGGAAATAGAATTACCAAAGATTTTTGAACACACTGAAATTTGTTCTGACATCTTACTTTTAAAAGTATATCTAACTACCCATAATACCAGTTTGATACTAAAGGCATCCGATAAAAGCAGCTTCTCACTACTATCTTGTTGATGGCAATAAATAATGCCAAATTTCATTTAATACTAGCTAATTCCAATAAATAAATGGCTGATATAATTAAAACACCTCAAGAGAGGGCTACAGACCCAGGAGCCCAGAACCTAAGACTTAGTTTCTGCATTTATAAATTATAGCTGTCAAAGGCTAACTCATAAGGTGGATGACCAATTACAGGATTAAACATGTGGCACTTAGTGTGTGTCAGAGGTAGCAGCTTTTGTCATTATTATTAGTATTAAACAGATGATACATATAGGCACAGAGGCCTGCAAGGAGATACAATAATTATCAAAACCAAGCTCAGGTGCCAGCGCTGTGGCGTAGTGGGTAAAGCTGCCACCTGCAGTGCTGGCATTCCATATGAGCACCATGAGTCCTGGCTGCTCCACTTCCAATCTAGCTCTCTGCTATGGCCTGGGAAAGCAGAAGACAGCCCAAGTCCTTGGGCCCCTGTACCCGCATTGGAGACCAGGAAGAAGCTCCTGACTCCTGGCTTTGGATCAGTGCAGCTCCGGCCGTTGAGGCCAATTGGGGATTGAACCAGCGGATGGAAGACCTCTCTCTGCCTCTTCTTTCTCTGCATAACTCTGATTTTCAAATAAATAAATTAAAAAAAAAAAAAAAAAAGAGAGAGACTAAAAGGTCACTAAGGCTGTTCTACCACTATTTAGCATTCTAAATCATTATGAAAACACCTGTCTCAGTCTATCAATTTCTCTCATGTTATGACTCAACAGGAAATTAAATAATCCAAGCATTTTTGCATCCTCCCCAAGATCTTCCGATGAGTTGGGAATAAACCTAGTTTTCAAGTTTCTATTTTTAGGAGCCTTTCATTTAAGTGGAATCTGCTAATGCTATGCCTTATAGATTTTAAGTTTTGGGTACTGGCATTTGTGACTTAAATCTTGGTTGCATTATGAAACAAAAAGTATATGAAAGAAAAAGCACATTAAGTGTGTTTAAGAAATACAACAAAGTTAAAAGTTTAAAAATGTGATGAAACATAGTCCAAGTAATTTATAACAGGTACAAAAATGTAACTAATAAAATTCTCAGAAAAAGGGAACTTAAATAATCTTCCACAAGAATAATTTCTCTTGGGACCAGAGATTTCTTTAAAAAAAATTTCCTGAAAGATTACAATTAGACACTAAAATTTCAAAAAAAGAGCAATTTAATATATGCAATATATTAAGTAAACAATGAAATACACCATTTCACCAAAACTAGAGCCAATAAAAATATTTACTTGGACATGTTCTAATATTTTTGAGCAAAAAGGAATTGTTTATATTACCCTGTTAATATAAACTCACACAGACATAATAGGAAATCTACTCCTGGTTTTTGAATAAATGGGGGCACTGCCCAAGTTGTTTTTTTTTTTTTTTAACTAAAGATTTAGCATCCCATATGGGCACTGGTTCATGTCTCAGCTGCTCCACTTCTGATCCAGCTCCCTGCTAACGGCCTGAGAAAGCAACAGAAGATGGCCCAAGTGATTGGGCCCCTACTACCTACATGGGAGACCCAGAAGCTGCTCCTGGTTTTGGCCTGGCCCAACCCTGGTCGTTGTGGCCATTTGGGGAGTAAACCAGAAAATGGAAGATGGAGGATTTCTCTGTCTCTCCCTCTCTCTGTAACTCCTTCAAATGGATAAATAAATTTTAAAGATGCAAAGGTAGAATGTGGTACACTGTATTAGTTTTTTGTTTAGTGCTTATCATGTGCCAGGTATTATTCTAAATGGCTTATAAGTATTAGTTCATTTAAGTCTCATAAGGTCCATATGTGGGTGGTAACAATAATATTATCTCCATTTTATGGATCGGAAAAATAGCACAGAGAGGTTAATTTGCATATGAATATAATGTAGGCAGGCTAGATTTCAGGACATACAGCTTCAGAGTAGGTGCTCTTAATTATTATTTTCACATCAAAGCAGCTCCAAGACCAATTTCTAAAAACTACAGACAATTTGAAGGCAAGCATTATACCTTAGTTTCTGAATTTCCAGTATCTGTGTTCCTGTACATGGTTAGTAGAGGAATGTTAACTAAATCAATGTGTACTAGATTAAAAAAAAAAAAGGCAGTTCATTTTTAGTTAATACTGCAGGGGGCATAATTGCTCTATTTATGAAAGTTTACCCTACCATAAGCCATCTAAATAATTTTCATTTATAGGTTGGTCATACTTATATAAAACAGATAAGTATGACTGGATGCTTTCTATGCATTACCCTATGCTTGATGCTCTGCATGTTTTATTTGATATATCCTCTAAAAGAAACCCTGCAAGGCAACTCAATTGTCTTCATGTCAGAGCTGAAGAAATGAAGGAAGAGTAAGATAATTAACCACAGTCTTAACGCTGGTATGCTGCACAGCAAGATTTGATCCAAAGTTTGACTCCAAAGCCTACATTCTTTTTATTTTTTTTAATTTTTTAAATTTTATTTATTTTTTTGACAGGCAGAGTTAGACAATGAGAGAGAGACAGAGAGAAAGGTCTTCCTTTTTCTGTTGGTTCACCCCACAAGTGGCCGCTACGGCCAGTGTGTTGCGGCTGGCGCGCTGCGCGGATCCGAAGCCAGGAGCCAGGTGCTTCCTCCTGGTCTCCCATGTGGGTGCAGGGCCCAAGCACTTGGGCCATCCTCCACTGCACTCCCGGGCCACAGCTGAGAGCTGGACTGGAAGAGGAGCAACAGGGTCTAGAACCCGGGGTGCCGGCGCCGCAGGCAGAGGATTAGTCTATTGAGCCATGGCACTGGCCCAAAGCCTACATTCTTTCCCACAAGTGCTCTGGCCCACTTTCTGTGGTTTTTCTAACACTGCTAGCCATTAGATAAAGCATTCACTTGTTAATTGCTGGGGGTGATGACTATACTTTAAAAAACAAACGAATTTT